AACGTAGTTTTTTCAAAAAACAAAACTCTTTGTTCATTTAACCCGAATAGATGAAGTTGTGAATATAAAACAAAGAAATATAGCCTTGGATTTTGAGACAAAAAGAGGGTAGTAACGATGATATGATGACGGCAGATTCGAGGGGTTAGAAAATTACAATTAATGAATGACAGATTACTAAATCTACCTCTTATCTAGGACCTTTAGATTAGTCATACTAAGACCGCGTCTTCAAGAAAAGATTTTGACAACATAATTCGCGAGTCTTTCAAGACGAAGGAGTTCTTAGTCCCTTGCCTTGTCAGATATGTATGTATGGAATGGAATATACAGATAAAAAATATCCAAATGCAAAGTTGACTGAGAGCCAATTCCCTACCTAAAGCAACTGAAACACCTAAATCTACCTAAACACATTTGTCATTCACACAAAGCATTGGAAGACTTAACAATGTCATATGGCAGTACGGTACTCCGTTCTATGAAACTTGTAATTTTCTTGTCAACATTCAGTTTGTATAGAAAATCGTATAGGTATCGTAAATAGGTTGATTTTTAACCTGTGTAAATACCAATATACAGTATAATAACGAATGACTTTATATTATTTTGCCGTTAACGTAAGATCGATTGTCAAGATTGTTGTATTTTTCACATTCGTTACCACTGGGTAGCTGAGTGGACATACCTCGCTTGAAATTCATTAGGTTGTCATTTCAACCCTGATAAGTGTCAGTGGCTTTTTAATGGTCTTAACTGGACCAATCTTTGATCATTTGAATTTTTAATGGTGCTTGGATAAGGAAACAGCTGATCTTAGTCTTGGTGAGTAACAAAGCACCAGGATGCTTTTCAATATGGGAACGTTCATCCTTGGGTCGCCGTAATTTTATCCCCCTGGTCAAAGCTGACGTCACTATGACGTAGTAACCTGAGTGGCCAAAAGTTTGTCGCGGCCGGAATTTCACCCCCGCGGATTTGGAAGTCTAATAAAAATAGCCAGAGCGTGATTAATTAGATTAGCGATAAAAACCGGAATTTTACCCCCTGTCCATATAACTAGCGTTTAGACAACTGAAGATTTACGGGCCGGATTTTTACCCCCGGAGTTTTACCCCCGGAATTTTACCCCCGGGTTTTTACCCCCCGAAATTGTATTTATTTATTTTGTAATCTCAACTAAGTAAACAGATTCGCTGTTTTATTTTGATCATAAAATTAATCAACAGTTGGCTTTAAAGATCGAATCCTGATACTCAAATCTCAAAATTAAAATTAAAAATCTGTTCGATTAGTTAATGTTACAAATAAATTAAGATAGGCTACTTAATAATAAAATGTTTACTATTAAATAAAAACTGAATAAAGATAATTAATAATCATTTTCACTAATTTATATATCTGGCCAGGGGGTAAAATTCCGGGGGGGGGGTAAAATTCCGGGGGGGGGGTTAAAATTCCGGGGGTAAAAATCCGGGCTGTACATTCTAGGTTTTTATAATTTGATTGTTCAGATTAAATTCACAACCGTGAAAATATCTATCTATATATTAATAGGCAAGCATGTTTCTTTAAAACCTTTTTTCTCAGCTCGTGTGCATCGTAGGGAAAATCTACGCATACCGTTAGAAAGATATTTTCCTGTAGGTGTGCAGAATCCCTTTATAAATTTAAATAGGCTCAAAGATAAGTACAAAAAATGAGTTTAAAGATTTGAAAAAATTAACATGGATCTTATGCGTTGCCATGCTGGTGACGAAATAACAACGAAATATAAACAGGAAATCAAAACAAATGGAAGAAACTCCAATCACATGTTTTATTTACAGTGTGGGGTGAAAATAGAGAAGTGAGTACATTACATATTTTTGGTCGAGTTTCGACCACTGGACGACCTCTCGTATGTTTAATTCCACGTTTAATAAATCGAGCTGATGTCGCGAAACTCAAAAGTTCGCGGCCGAAATTTTACCCCCTGGCTTGTGACGTCACGTTTGCCCAGGGGATAAAATTCCAGGGGGATAAAAATCCGCTACCCCTCATCCTTTACACGTAAGGACAAACCTTGGTTACGTAAGAACATAAACGATTGTTACTAACAACAGATCTATCCTTTTCTCCAATCTCGTGTTACTGCAAAGCCCTTGTTTTATGGCTGAACATCCGTTCCAAAATATATTAATATTGCAGCTTCCCCTCAATATTAGCCACCCTTAGTGCGAAGGGTGATCTTTTGTCGCCCTTAGCCAGAGATTAACGTTTAAACATTAAGTAGGGATCTCCTATGTCATCACAAAAGTTTATCTTCGTTTGAAAGACTGAATACTAAACAAAATATTATCTCCCTCTTCCAACACATCCACTATTTTGAATTCACGTTTATAAGAGCTCCCCTCGTTTTTTGACTAATCTTTGCCTACATTATTTCTCCCAAGCTGCAGTCCTTTTTCCGACAGTTCATTCGTTTAGGAGTATTTTCCCCAGCACCATTCTTACTAAGTGTAATAACTGTCTGAAAAGACAATACTGTACGAGACAAACTTCATGCTTTTTTAATTCGTGTTCCAAATAAAACATATATTTTTGAGTCACGTCGAAGTTTAACTGTTTAAAGTTTAAGTTTAAAGTTTAACGTCACCGAAGTATCAAACATGTGGAGTTTGGTTAATTTGGATTACATATGGAGATTTGAAAAATCTCCTAATTTTCCTTAAAAGAAATTCACAACTATCAAGAAACATAACGGAGACCAAATCAGAAGTTTATACTGTATTACTACTTCACGACATGTCCTCCCAAAACGAAAACAAAGTGATAGTCCAGTTGTCCGTCTCTTTGTTTTCATTCGAACTGCAAGACGATGAAAACAGAACACGTTAAAAAGTTTCTTTTGAGACAATCCACGGTTTTATTTTTTCATGTAATTTTATATATCCTTAGAGGTTATAGTTATTTTTTCATAAATTCTAATCAAAGTTTTTCTAATATTTATTCTCATACGAAGAGTAGCATAATATGTAACAAGAATCTTCTTTTGGTGTATTTCTTTAAATTAATTGTTTTAAAAGTGTATAGTTTTATTTTTTACCAGCCAAATAGTTCTATACCTAATAGTTTTAAAAGTTTCTCGAGTCTTAAAATTGTAATATTTTATGAAGTTTGGCATTGTATGAAATTTACTTCAGGTTGTACATGTAAAAGGTCAACCCGAAAGGATATTCCACATAGTAGCCATCTAATAATAAAATTCATAAAGTAGCCTCCTAAATACACAAGCATAAATCGGCATCCTCCTAAATTGATAATAATTGATATTGAAGTATTAATTTAACACAAAACAATTAATTTAACACAACAACACACAACAAAAACACCAAGGACAACAACAACATACAACATAACTACAATAATACAATTTGTTCACAAAATTTAGGTAGTTTGATGGGAAGTTCTCCCATTAATTTTTTTCTTAAATGGCGTGGTTGATTTATGTTTTGGCAAACCTCAGCTGTTTAGCTACATTATTTTAAATGTAGGTTCAAGTGGGAGGGAGGGGTCATCCCCCACTAGTAGGTAGGTTCATCCCATAAAACCACCTAAATTTTGTTAACGCGTTTTGTTATAATGTGTTATGACCATATAAAATGACAAAAACCACTACCATAATTGCTTGTTATTTCTCAACATAAGTTATTTGTAGTACATATGCAGGATATAGAATAAATTTCTAAAATATTTACAGCAACAAAAGTGTTAAAATGAAGTAATCCAAATTGAAAAAAATGTTATAATCATGTTTACTATTTTCGATACTGAAATCTCAGTAATATCTCTTTTACGCCGTTAAAGCATAATAAACATTTATTAAAGTAGAGTGCCTAAAATATTACCTCAAGACAAAATTATAAAAAAAGCAATCAGTGCTTCAGCCTTGATTTATATTGTTGAAGGGGACCTACAGGACAAAGGCTATTGATCAAATTTTTGTAGATCTTTTGTGAAAACATCAATAAAATACGATTGTTTGTTTCGTGCACAGTTGGGTCTTTACCCTCCCTTCCCTATAACAACAGCACGCATTCATTCTCCCTCACTTAGAAGTGCGGGGGGCCTAAGCCTAAATGCATCTTTTTGATTCCTAGGGCATCCTGAAAACACAAAGATTCACTCTAATGGGCGAATCGATTTTGTTCTTAAAAGCACCCTGTTTTTAGATAGCAAATCAGTACGCTTTCCAAAAGTTTATTGGTTTCACACTAATTTTTGAAATGTTAAGGTCCAATATACTGTGATTGTAAAAATAAAAATATTGATTAGGGAAAAATGTCAAGCCTTTATATATCCTTTGTGTTCTTTTTGTGAAAAAATGTCATTTTGCAGGTTACCGTTTTTTTTAATTGAAAGCATATGAGGTTTATGTGTATGTGTAGTGTAAGTAGGCCGCCTATTTTAAATAATAACAGCTCAAAAAAACTGCAGTTGGCTAAATAGAGACATAGGATTAAAAATAATTAACAACCAAATGAGTGTACAATGTGGATAACTGCTATAACTAAACTGTCAAAAATGTAAATTTGACTCTCACGGCTTGATTAAAATAATAGTAATACTAGTTTAGTGTAAAATCCTTGCAATTTCCTACCAAACTGTTTCACAGCAATATTATGACGCAATACGTCAAAAAATGTCAAACGTTATCCAAAATGATCAAGAACTTAACAAAACCTGCAAACGTAAGGGAAAAACAATCAACATATTGGGCGAGCCTGTTGCAATAAAGGATCATACTGTCCACTTTCATATATGCACTTTACCAATGACACTGTCACTTAACACTAAATACACAACTAGAGCCTATCCAAACGTATCCATTCTGCACCGTGGCACCAGCCTCACAGCCACCTAGGGTGTCTTTCATCCTCCGAGTGGTTTAATCTACTCACTCGTCCGCACAGCTACACAAGATTGGATGTTTGGACGTCGGACAAGAGCTGTCTCACCTTTGTATAGCAGACACAGCAGCAGAAGTATTCGAACCATCGTCGCGACGTTGGCCGCTAAACCATGTCGACGCCGGGGCGGCTAGACACCGACTACCCGGGCTGTGCTGTCAATGGCTCCCTTCGCCCACCCACCCCTAGCAGCCTCCCACACATTCATGCCCTGGTCCTGTGTCTACTGCGTTATCATCTTGATTTGCACACAAGCACCCAAGTTTGTGAGCTATTCGTAAAAATCTTAAATAGTCTGAAGACAGTTTCGGAAAAAAATTACAGTTGTTAGACAAGTAAAAGGTACTACCACATTAAAACTATAAGCAATAAAAATACTTAATGTAATTTGAACTAATTGCTATAAAGGCTGTTTTGGTAAAATAACGTAACGTGCTGCAGTAGTTTTGAGATATTATGTGATAAAAAATTAGTTTGCAATATACAAACTGATAAGCACAACATTTTTATTGAACGAAAACGTATTTTTGCTGTATTTTAACTCTCTAAAATATACCTTTTAATTTTTTTTTTAGTTTTGTGGATAATCAAACATTGATACATGTATCCACCACATATTTGTATCTTAATAAGTTAGTCAATTGGGGGTTTCTCAGCTGACTGAATGTAAGATCGTAATTTTGAAGTTGACGCACCAAGAAGTACAAGTTAAATAAAATATATAAAGTTTTATTTTATTTCACAAAATAGGACATAACTTAAAAAAAACTGATTCTTTTATTATTGTATTGAACGGCTTGATTGAAAGTGTTCCCTGGATGAGTTAATAATTTGTGACTTGCACTTTCATACCTGGCCTTTCTACTTGTAAATTAATAAAATGTTAATTAACTGTGCACCTAAAACTTGTTATATAACAATTTGTATTTTGATGCCGATAATATGACGAATACATGGCAAAGGTATATTAATAAAACCATGATAATCCACCAAGCTAAGATATACACTTAGTAGTATCTTACGTTTAAGCGAATTTCCCATATAGGGAATAAGCTATTACCGTATACTCTCATAGTAAAACCTGGACCCGGGATCGATGTACTTTTTTCGTTTTTATGTCTCCAGAGACCAAATCACCGTCTTTTCAAAAATATATATATAGGGTGTCCCATAGCTCTCTGGACACATTTTTATAGCGTTATTGCTTAGGTCAAGACAAACAAATTTCACCATAGGAACATGGGTCTGAGGTGCCTAGCATTAGTTTTCCGTCTCTCTGTAATTATGTGTTTATATATATATATATATATATATATAAATAAAATAACTCCTAAACTGTTTGAGATACGGCTTTGAGAATTTGCAAAATTGTTTATCTTATTAAGACCTATTTCCGTTTCAAATTATACTAAAAAATCATCAACCGTTTCAAAATGGTGGCCATTTAAAATATTTTATGCCAAATTTCACGAAAAACGTGAACTTAAAAAAAGTTAGTAAATGCTATCTAGTTTTCAATGATACCTTATTTGTTAAGGATGGATAAATAATAACAGAGAAATGTGCTTTTTTCGTAATGCACGACTACTTTTCTCCCTTTAAACAATGCTAATACTCCTTTTACATTGTCTAAATATCTTTACGATCATCTGTTACACGTCAATCAAGAGTTTTAAAACGTAACAGCTGATTGAATGATTTGTTTTGGTTATTTTCCGATATCCCAATGGTGGCCTCCTTGAGTTGATCCCGTTGATCCACGGCCACCTTTAACCACAGGCCGCGGCCTGGTAGAACTGGCAACGTCGCAAGTGGTGTTTTTAGTAACAGACGTCCCATAAGATAACATGACAGACAGGTGATTAGCTCATTTATTCGCACTTTCTTGATTTAAATTTAAATTTATGAACACAAATTTATTGAAATATTGAAAATAAAACAAACAGAATTGAAAACCGAAACAATTTGAATTAAAAACCTATATCCGTACATTTTAAGTTGAGTCAATATTGTCATAGTCAGTTAACCAATCTTTCGTAAATACACAAAATACAATTAGCTGCTTCCAAACAAAATAGCTGTTACAACACCACTTGCGACGTTGCCACTTTGAAGGCCGCGGCCTGGAGTTAAGGCGGTCGTGGTTGATCACCCTGTATAGGTGTATACATATATGTGTGTGTGTGTGTCAGTTGGAATGATAACTCGAACAAAAATGATCCGATTTTGAGGAAATTATTACAAAGGTGTAAACCTACATTTATTCGAACGAGTTCGCGAACCAGCGTGATTGGCTATTGGAACGGGGGCTTATGGGGGGGGGGTTATAGGGTAAAAATAGGGTTTTCTAATTTTTTACCTTCAAAACATAAAATTTTCCAATTTCTTTCTCAACCACTTTAAAGAGCTTAAAAACCAAATAATTTAGTGTATTGAAGTGTTTTTGTGTGATTATTGGTTACGGAGAAAATTCAAAAAATTGTAACTTAAAATGGAGTTTTTACTACGGGCGTTATTACCATCAGCGGAAGCCCTGTTCACTCGGTGTTGACACATTCAACGCGACCTGCCCTACAACGGACGATGTTTATATGATGTAAATTCTAAAGACTATTCCAATAAGCAAGTGAAAGCACAGCATTGAATGGAAGTTACTACAGATATCCTGTAAAGTAGTATTGAAAGAACTTATTTTCATGGTGTCTGTGATTTTCAAACGTCAAGTGAAAAGCACCTGTAGACAATCTGTTTCTCAGAACAGGCTGAGTATACCAACGCATTTTTTCTCGCTTATCGAAATTCGAATATACTTCAAAGGAACGGAAATACAACACAACCGATGTGAACAGCGTCCATAATTGGCATCTCCACTAGGCGGGATTTTTTTTAGCACGGGACATTGCCGCCCGTTTAGAACGTCGGATAGGATAGCACGTGTGACGTCCGCATAGTGTGACGACAATGTTGTCCGTATATAAGGTCGGGTTTCAATACTGGACTTTAGTGGCATTAACGACGCATTTGTCGTCCGTATAGAATGTCCCTTATATCATTGACTATATGCAGTAATTAGCGCTCTACGGCTTCGTTCCAAAGTAACAGAAACAGCCACCTGCTACAACTAGTGTGACGTTTCACAACCGTTACATCAAAAGTAGCCGGACAGTTTACTTGGCATTTCTACAAACAGACGGTATACGAGGAACGTCACGCACCTCAAATTATCCAGACCTCAGAGTAAATACTTTAAAAAATACTTAAATATGTGTTTTTACTCTCAGCCCTAAGTAGTTTTACTTTAGCTCCTGGTTGACGTCCCATCCGTACCACAAAGAGAGAATGGACCTCTATAGTACGTACTTACGTACCCGAATTTGCTCAAACTTATTTTTTGGTGGGTTGTCGGGGTGACACATTGACGCGCTCCCGTTGAAGGAACATTGAACAACCCCATTATCAATCAATAATTATTATCAACTAATTATAAATCATTTAAGATTGGGACGCCACCTAGGTGAGTATTTTAACACAGATATGCACGAAGGATGATAGTAGAATGGAGTGAGATGATCTGTGTAGCTGTGTAGCTTTTAAACCGACTATAGGACCAACTGTTTCATTGTCAGGACCATTTTATATCTCTAAGATCAAGGACAGATGGGTTCAGTATCGAAACGTTAAAATATTATAAACTTTTCTCAGAATCGAACCAAAGACATTATGATTACTGGGTGAGCACTATTTCTGTCATCACTAAAAGCTACACATTATGCATGATACTTACTTGATACTTGTGTCCTTAATCCTTGACCGACAATGTCGGATAAACTGCGTCAGTGGCATGTAGGGCCTATACCACATGTTGCACGTAAAGTGTGTTTACAAGTAGCAACACTCTCTGGCGAAACATGTTCAATAATGGAACATGTAGAAATGGGAACGTACGCACTCTTAGTCTTAATTTATGACCACTATCCAATTACGTATTATTTATTTCATTTATCTATTGATATTTCTTTTAGGTCTAATGTTCTAGTATACATTTTAGCGTATATTATCTAGATCCAAAAATACCGAATTATATAAGGATATATTTATTTATTATATGTAGTCCTGTTGTTTTCCCGACTGATCAATGAATGAGCAATGAAACATATTATTGTTGAGCTGTTGGCCAGCGTGAAGGAAACGAGGTTGACGGCGTTGACGGGACGCTCGAGCTTGACGCTTGACTTTAGAAAACAGACTGTCCTTTTCTTTAACTTCTTTCCGGTGCAATCATCAAATTCTGTGACTGTATCCAAGAAAATGGTGGTAAGTTTAATTTATATTATCACAATAAATTAACATAATCCTTTTGATTTTATAATTTTTAAGCGTGTAATGATACTTAGTTATTGTTTATTGCTTTGGTAAACTATATATTTACCAAATTGTTTACTTCTTTTGACACTAGAATTTCCTAACCTAGGTGGTGTTTAGTACCTATGAAGGCCTAAAGTGTCTTTCATGAACAAATAAAGGCTGATAAGATTCAATTTATTACTTAATAACACTTGATTTGACGAAGAATAACTTCTTATACACTCTAAACTCACCTAGACAAAGTATTAGGCCTACTTGAATACGAGGGTGATTGTATTAGGCCTATTATATTTTAGGTTATGTAGGCTTTCCTTTGAGGGTTTGAATATAGGCCTAATGTTATGCCTCTAACTTACAGTACAGCGTAGTGTTTCAGGGTACAGTTTCTTAACTGGGCTATGCTAATATTGATTGAAACTAGGCCTATCGGTTCGATTAGTAAACCTTCATGCGATTTTTTCACCATCAGCAAGTTTGTTTCGTTAGGTTAGGTTATGATAGTTTTATTTTATAATAAAAATATTTAAAAATATCGATTATTTTTCACTATTTTCAATTCGATAGTTTCAATCAATATTAGCATAGCCCAGTTAAGAAACTGGGCTGCACTTTACTTGACGTCCTACACTCATTTGATTGTTTTTTTATCAATTCGATATTTTCATTCGATTGTTTCATTCGATATATCGTTTGGTTAGTTAGGTTAGGTTAACCTTACCTAACTAACCAAACGATATATCGAATGAAGCAATCGATTAATCGATATATCAATCGATATTTTCATTCGAATGAGTGTAGGACGTCAAGTAAAGTGCAGCCAGAAACTGTACCCGTGTTTCATAAGACCTTGAGCTTAACCCTTCATTTGAGTAAACTCATTTTAAACAGTGGTGTTAACTTAAATTCTAATCACCAAATCAGGTTTTAACTCTTAGGCCAAGGCCTATAACTTACTGTTGCTTAGACTTTTTTATTTATTTATTTATTGCCAACGGATTTCACCAATTTAGCCTACAATAAGAATTTCAATATAGGCTAGTGAGATAGGCCTACTCATCATGACTAAATTAACTTAACCCTCCGAGTGTTATGTGTCGTAAAATCGACACATTACACACTTTGTGTAGTGTATGGTGTCGATTTTTCGACTCACAAACACTGTTTACGGCGAAGGCTCTATGACTGATAAAATCGGATTGAACTGGATCGAGTTAGGTACTTATCGTTTTATTTGGCAGATTCTAAGCTTTCTCCCGAGGTCTGTCTCTAAGCGCTTTTTTTTCTCGAGCCGATCATAATTGTAGCAGACAGCTGACGTGCGTATTTGTAAACAGCTTGGTTAACCTCGCACCGATGACTGATGTGTTTTATTACGTTTATCATTGTTTTAGTGTTAAAAATCAAAAGTAGTGATATACGTGGTGCATTATAAGAAGATTTAAGTGATTTTGAAGGGCTGGTTGATGATCCTGAAGAAGTAGGTAGTGATATTGATGTAAATTATCAGCCAGATTCCTAGCTATGGTTAGGCTATGCATTCTTAGCTAAACGCTATGTAACTTACCGAAATCTGTTTTTTGCCCATAACTTATTTATTTGCAAATCTACTTCCTTATATTATTATATTTTTGGAATCCTTATAAAATTCTGAACAAAGTGGCTATTTTAAAATATTTGTAGACTTATAAATTATAAAAATTTATTGAGCGCAAACATAAATTTTTTAAATTTATTTTATAATTTTTGAGAAATGTTAAGTTAACCCCTCAAAAATTGTTGAACATTTTTTTTTTTAATGTTTTTAAGTTTTTAAGATACATTTTAATAAAACCCTGCGATTGCGCAATAAATGGGCGAACATTAAGACCAAAACTAGGGACACTTGGAGGGTTAAGTCATGACTTAAGTTAATTAACTTATTAATTACTTAACTTAAGTCTAGAACCTAACTTGCGAGATTTTATTGGATGAAATTGTAGGTATAGGCCTATTTAAACCCTAATGATTAGGCCTACAGGCAGGGTCCAGTTTCAAACCTTCCAACAGATTTTCTGTCTTTTCTGAGGATCGACTAAGTTAATAGGTTTACATCGTAAGGGGACTACATCACTGTTGTAGGACTACCAACCTACTCTGATTGAACATATTTGCTCTGTCAAAAACAACATGAGATTTTAGGGAATGGATTTTTTAAGGCCCTAGACTAGAAGATGGTAGTGTGATGGAAATTAGGAACGAAACATGGTGATTTGGAAAGTGTGTTTAGGTTCTGTTACACATTAACCAAAAGAGATAAGCTAGAGAAGGTTTTTACTTAAAGAGATGAACATTCATAAGGTTCATCAAGAAATAAATGTCAGATCAGCTTGGGACAGAACAGTTTCACTTTAAAAATTTACTTAGCTTACTTTAAATTTAGGTTTATTGTAATACGTATCTTATCATAGGCCTATACGGTAAGAAATCAAAGTTAGAGCTTTTAAAACATAGGCCTAATTTAACAAGTTCTGTGGTTACAACGATAAACATTAAGTTAAAATTGAATTTTGTCCTAATCCGGACAAGTACCATTAGCCGAATGAAATATGGCTGCTATTGTACACAGAGAAACAATAGGTTTATCTGAAATTTGTATGTTAAAGGCCTATGATGATTGAATACTTAGCCTAGATTAAAATCTTTTAGGCCTAATTACTTTTTCGAAGTTAGAAATAAGTTAGCTTGTAACCTTTCAAAATATTCAATTGTTACATTTTATATTTTTTTTAGGAAAAAAAGGAGAAGCCTGTCAAAGTGGCCAAGACTCCTCACGCCACCAAACCCCCTAAGAAGGAGGCTAAGGACAAGACCAAAAACCTAATGCGCGATGTTCGCATTGCAAAGCTTTGTCTGAACATCTGTGTTGGTGAATCTGGTGACAGACTTACACGAGCTGCCAAGGTGAGTAAAGCAAAAAATTGAGTGTTGTAGCCTAAAAATTTTAAATAGAGACCTAGTCCAGGTCCTTAGTCTATTTAAAGATATTAGAGCACAGTCAGTTTTAGCTTCGTGACCTACCTGATACTTAACAGTTCACTGTTGCAAGTGTTACCTTACCCTAATTCATTGAAATCATAACTTTCGTTTCATTAACCTTGTAAATCCCGGCTTGTTGATTGATTGATTATTACAACTTGTTATTGTTTTAAAGTGAAACAACAGTCATTACAGAATTCGACGAATTAGTAGGGCCTATAGTTGCTAGTTGCCACTATATGAAGTCCGGCATGCCTACGATCTGTGCACGTGTTTTATAAGCCGCGTTTGCACTGAAGTTTGGAATTGATTTGTAACAGATGTTTACAACAGGTAGTGGTAGTGCATTTTTCTTTGATTTTTTTGGAAACGATTTTATCAAGCTAATGACAGCGTGGGAGCGGAAGAACTGATGCTGAGGGCGTGGCATGATGCATGTGGTGATGGGTAGGCGAAGGCTATTGGCACTAAAAAAGTAAGCACACGGTCGACGGTGTTTTATTCTTTCATGTTGTCCGTTCCTTATCTGTTATTTTGTTCTTTTTCACCCACAGTGTTGGGCAAACTAATTAGCCTAATAAAGTTAGCCAAAAGAATGACAATTGGAAACAATAAATACCTATGTAAGATTTACTTAATATGCCAATTAGGCCTACATATTTAATCACTGGATGAAGCGTTTTAAAAAGCGTTTCAACTCATTTTTTATTATGGTTTCAACAATAATTAATATGTAGCCTATTGTTTTTTATTAGGAAATTTCAAAATAAGAATATGAATAATTTTATGAATCCTTTTTATATGAGGTGCAATAGTTAGGAGATTTTCTGTAAACTATGAACAGTGTGGAAATCAGGACCTCACAACTTTGCTAACTTAATCGTGCTTCCATTCATGAAATTGTTTCTTTTGCTTGCACTAATTATTTAAGTTGGCTAATTTGTCAATTTTTTTATTGATCTTAATACCATGAATAGCCCGGCTAATATCAGTGTGTCTTGTTTGCCAGGTGTTGGAACAGCTGACTGGTCAACAGCCAGTGTTCTCCAAGGCTCGTTACACCGTCAGATCCTTCGGTATCCGTAGGAATGAAAAGATCGCTGTCCACTGTACAGTCAGAGGCGCAAAAGCTGAGGAAATCCTGGAACGAGGTCTTAAGGTATTGTGCTAACTTCCAGATCTGGAAATATTTTGTAAAGTAGAATCTGTGTCTGTCCAAGTGACCTTGATACTTTAATTCTGATTTCAATATTTTAAAGTTAAATCTTCTGAATAAACCTTTATGAATTTATTAATCCTGGAATGTAACGTTAATTGGTGTTTACTCATTAGGAGATATGATGAAACTTAATCAGATGTTTTTCCATACGCAGAGGATACGCGTCCGGTAACCGTATGTGGATTAGGCGTCCGGCAGTTAACTCTTAAGTTAAGCAGTTAAGTCTTAACTTAACCTAACCAACCAAACTTGCTGATAATGAAAAACTCGAATGAAGGTTAAATTCTGTTCTTAAAATGAAATTATAAATGCCAACAATTCTAACAAAAGATGTACAGTTAAGAAGAAATGGCATTCAAAGCAAAATCTTTGACAAAAAGTTAAAGTTACCGATGGGATTCGAACCAGGGACCTCTTGCATATCAGCCGAGCACTCTATCCACTACACCTCGAACACTGATGGCTGTACATCGTATCGTTGTGGTGATGGCGTTCCGGGCCCCCACAACTCGGTGACGTCACTGCCAGACACCTAATCCACGACCGGTTACCGGACGCGTCAGGCTATCATCTGTGTTTTCCATAACTAAAGAAAAAACATTGTTTCGTTTCTTCATGATATTGCCATACGGCTAAATCATTATACAAAAAAGAACTAATCACACACTTTTTAAAAAAGTTCTATATTTCAGCATTAGCCTTCTTCAGGAACAAACAAACAATAACAAATGGAAGTGTTTACCACTCTGTACCAGATGGTTTCAGCAAAAATCCAAAATGCAAATAATTTATCAAGAAGTAAAAAAGAAGATTGTGATATAAAGAAAGAAAGAAAATATTTTTTGTATACTGGTACTATCTCAAATTTGGACCAGATGGTGTGTTAGATTTAAGTATTAATTGATGAGCTTGCTCAAGCTGTCTTAATTTTAAGTCTGATGCGTCTTTTGCCAATTTTCTTATTCCTTTTAATGAATAACACTGTTGAAAATTTGTAGAATGCTCTCCCGCATGAACAGCCACAGGTTTTTGTTTATCAGGATGGTTTACATCATATCTCTGGCCATTCATACGAACTCTTAAGAGCATTTATGGTTTTGCCAATGTAGTCTTTAGGACAGTTTTTGCAGGAAATTAGGTAAATGATATTGGCAGAATCACAAGTGATGTTACTATTTATGTTATAAGATCTTTTAGTTTGGCTGCTTAAACAAGACAAAACAGCGTGCTTTTATTATGCACACAAAGAAGAAAAAAAAAGTTAAATATGTTTAATCCGTAAAAAATGTTCTCAACACAGTGGAATCACTTACCTATTGGCTAGGCTTCTAAAAACCTCAAATTCCATTGGCAGATTTCTTGTGGCCTGTAGGTAAGGTTTTAGTTAAAAGTATATTTTTCTAACAGGTACGAGAATACGAGTTGAGGAGAGATAACTTCTCAGATACAGGAAACTTTGGTTTTGGAATCCAAGAACACATCGACTTGGGTATCAAGTACGATCCTACCATCGGTATCTATGGTCTTGACTTCTACGTTGTACTTGGTCGACCAGGTAACTTGCTGTTTATTTTTGTTTATTGCTTACAACTACCTACTACCAAACACACCCCACCCCAATGCTTTGTTTTTAGCAAGGTTTAGAAAAATAAATCATAATTTGAGTGGTCGATAAGGTGACCTGTGCGTAATAATCAGCATTTTAGTGATTTTACTTTAGAGAAGAAGCTAATGCTGTAGCTGACACCGAAAGACTTTTACCTGGGACCGATTTACTTGAACTAATTTTGTACATGAAACATCTTCTATTAGTCGATGGACTGATGGTATAAAGGTCACAGTGTAGGTTAACTGTTTGGATATACCTGCTTTTTATATTGGTTATTTTGCTGTTTTCAAATTTACTAATAGAAACTTTCTGTACTGTATTTTCTATTTCATTAAATTTAATTTCAGGCCTTGACCGAAATATGCCTACTCATTGCAAATATATAAAATGTTTTTTTCCTCAGGGTTCAACGTAGCACACAGGAGACGAAAGACTGGAGTTATTGGATTCCAGCACCGCTTAACCAAGGAAGACGCCATGAAATGGTTCCAACAGAAGGTAGGTGTACTGCTTACATTTTTCTAGCTATCTCTATTTGATTCTAAATTGTATGAGAACTTTGTAATGATTCAATCTTTCAAAGGACAATGTGTTGTAGTGAGAATTTGACTTTTTAACCATTCAGTTTAATGTAGGAGGTGTGTAAGCTGCTCAATTTTTGAGCTGAGAAGAACCCTTGGAGCTTGAGTGATCAAGCTTTTTTATTGTCACTATCGTAGAAAGCAACTTCAAAGATTGTGTGGACAAGATTTACTATGTCTCCAAGATAAAGATGATTCACAATTTTATACCAATAAACCAAAAAGATCTGTTTAAATGAAACTCTCTCTTGCACATTCCTAATTTAATATAGCGGATACATTGCACGATATCCAAGTGTCATGACGTCCAAAATATAATCCTTGAACTGTCTCACGACGTCCAATATAAAATATTTTACTGATGCACAATGTCCAAATTTCATCAAATCCAAAAGTACATTAACTTTAATAAACATAGTCTTTCTGCAAGCTCTGGACGTCATGAGATTGGTCGTTGTGAAATAGTGCAATTTATTCTCTTAAAAAAAGAAGCAGTTGCTTGATGTCCAGCAGCTCAGAGCGCTGAACTCAGCGGAACAGAGGTTCCACGACGTCCAGAGCACACTTTAAATACTGTTTTACCGACTAGTGCATACTAACCTAACCTAACTTAGCTCCGTCAGCAGGAGCTCTGGACATAGCGCTGAACTTTTAGACGTCGTCAGAGAAAACATACACTACTATAACCCAGAATGCCAACCGCATAACAACGCTGGTGGCGCTGCCTACGAATTGAAAGGCAAAGCTCTCAAAGTACTTAACGCTTTTTACCATGCGGTTGGCATTCTGGGTTATAGTAGTGTATGTTTTCTGTGACGACATTCAACTGGCAGCGCCTTTGGATATAATGTTATTGCTTAGGTTTTAAGAGTAAAATGTGCACTGTCGCACAATGAACAATCCCATGACGTCCAAAGCTTGTAAGACTATGTTTTTTACAGTTAGTGTACTTTTCGACATGATGATATCAGCTTCGACAATACAGTATTCTAATGTTTAAAGATGTTTGAAAAGATTCCAAACAACTAAGTATCTTTTATTCTGTTTCAGTATGATGGAATCATCCTTCCTGGCAAGAAGTAAATGTATCGTTTTTATCAATAAAAAAATGTTTTTAAAAACCATTAAACAAGTTTTTTGTTTTACCCGATACTTCTGTTGTAACTAAATTAGACAGGGGTTTCACTAGTTGTGTCAGTACTACAGTAACAGTAATGTTAACATTTTCTGAATTTTTTCTAGGGTTGAAAACCCTATCTAAAGAAAATAGACCAATTTTATTCATAAGTAACCCATCAATATACTGCTACACAGATTTTTACTTTGAAATTGGTAAAGAGGAAGCCTCATATTCAAAAGAAAATCCTTAAAACCTTGCCCTTGTGCTCTGTTACATATTTAAATTCATACATTTCAATTTTCATTTTTTTTTTTTACACCTTGCTTGATAATACAGTCCAACCTCGGTATAACGAATCTGAAGGGACCGAACTGAATATTCATTATATCAAGGATTTTGTTAAAATGAGGTTTGTTATATTGAGGTTAGGTTTGCAGGAGTTTCGCTAAGTCGAGGTTCAGAACTAGCATCAGTCAATATAGGTCAGGATTTGACCTCAATAAAACACAATTAAAGTAGCCTAAGCTACAATACTTTACAGTACAGTGTTAACATTGTAAAGTAGAACCTCGATTATCCGGGTTACTAAAGGGGAGGGATCTTTAATATTGCGCAATTATGACATTTCTGGTCATTGACCTTGGTACAGGTTACAAACTTTAAGTTTAAAATCACAGCTTACTCTAACCCACATAAAACCTAGCCAAACACTGTATTGTATAGAAAAAAACCACGTAAAGAACAAAACAATCAGTAGAGAGTTTTCTAAGCAATTGCTCGTGATAGGCTGGTAGGCTACTACTGCTTTAAATCACAACATAGGAATGTCGATACTGTAATAATCATCAACTATAGCATTGGTGTTTTAGTTTTAAAAAATCGTATTGAAAATAATAAAAATATTAGATAAGTCGTTATAAAAGTGTATAATCATAGCCAACTTAAAGATAATAAAAACACTTGTAAAAGGAATGTTAATATAACGATATTGCTATTCTTTCTCTTTGCTTTGTACTTCTATTCTTTTTTTTTCTTAGGTTTCTCTTCATCCAAAAATTGTACAAGTCACCATAGTTACTTATCACCCAATCACAGCTGACTAAACATTACTTCGTCATCAGTCCTCAGTGAATGAAATCAGTTCTCAGTTGTAAGTAACATAGCGCGCACGAGCGACGACAGCAGACAGGGACAGGGATGTGTAAACGGAGCAGACAAATGTTAGCGCAAGCAATGACTTCATGAAGGAGAAAACATAGGTGTGGTATTCCCAACATATGCTGACGTGACCCAGTTTGCAAACGCCATTTCACTATCTATATATTAATTTGAAACTGTTTTTCTTTGTGACAGCTATTTTGAGAGAACGGCTGGGCGTAGAAACTCGGTAGGGGTGTCTAAAGAAAGGTCTTGGTCTGTAGATGAGTCATCAAAAGAGAAACGGGGTAAATTCCCTCGGGGCTCTGCCCCAGTGGCCTTTAAATTCCCATCCCATGTTATTCTTATGGAGGAAAAACGGGGTTTTTGTCACAGCTAATTTGAGAGAACGGCTGGGTGTAGAAACTTGGTAGGGGTGTCTAAAGAAAGGTATTGGTCTATAAGTGAGCCTTCAAAAGAGAAAAAAGGTAAATTTCCTTGGGGCTCTGCCCCAGAGGCCTTTAAAGTTTACTCAGCAGTTTTGTTAACATTACGGCCGTATGGATAATTTTACACTACTTTTAATGAACCAGCTGTTAATATTAAAATTAATTGTATTCAAAGGTCTACTGAAACTGTCAAAATTAAATGTTTAAATTATTATATATGATTTTAAATTGATTCTCCACTGCATGGCAAGTTTTTTTATAGTTTCAACAAAATGATGAATTTATGATACGTTTGAAATGTTTTGTTAAAAAATCTACGTTTATTGCCCTTAGAAAATTTTAAATTATGAAATCAGTGCGGCATATCAATTTCAAGGAACATATAATTATTCCTTATGGGGTTAGCTTATATTGTTAGGTTGGCACTTGCCTTTTCTTTGCCTACTTTCAATCACCATTTATTATTGAATTCAAGAAAGAACACCAGAAATTCATTTATTGGTATAAAAGTTGTTGACAATCGAGTTGAAAATTGTGTCATAGATGAGTACCTTGAGGATGAGAGCTGTGTTCAAGTTTTGGAATAGACTAACTATAGAATATGTTTTGGTGAAGTAGGTGAATTAATGTCAATTCAGGTATTTCAAAAAATGTGTACAGGGTTTTTACTTTTATGTACACATCTAGCTAGGTCGAACAACGCATCTAAACCTCACTACATACAAAACATTCGGAAACACAACAATGCCATCACATCTCATAGCATTTGCATAATTAGTTACCAAGGCTGGACTAGGTTATGGCAAGAGAAGGAATTAAAATTTCTTAGATCAAAGTAAGAATGTTACTGCTTTCTGGAGAATCAGATATTTTTATCAAGTACAAAAAAAAACTGATTTAATATGCTGATAAAATTCTGTACTTTTATGACCATAGATGAAGATTCACTTATAAATCCCAATACAATCTGAACGATTTTCCTAAAGCAGATGGAATTAGTTGTTAGTAATATCATAGATAAAACATACTCCCTTAGTAGATTTCTCATCCTTATGGAACAGCTGAAGACAATTTTATTTGTTAGTTCATGTACGGTTTATGTAGAGGTCGTGTTTTGTTTACAATTTGTTTCCCGTTATTCAGCCATTTAAAACATCGTTTAACCAAATAATACGATCTAATCATAAACAATAACTTGTCCCCTAGTTATATAACCAAACAGTAAAGCAGAAATCAAGAAATTAACCCTAAAATAGTTGAAACAAAGTTTCATCGACACTAGCGCCTTTGTGTCACGTACATGAACTAGACACGAAAAACGTGCTTCAAAATTTACAATGGGATGAGAAGTCTACTTGTGTTGGTTAGTCTATGGTAATATTGACTGTTTCCGTAACATGATAGACTAATTATATGAACTCCTTCTCCCATATAGTGAAAGTGGCTTTGACATGAAACAAACTCATGAACAAACCATTATAAGACTCCTAAAAAACCTTTTGGGCAACCTAAAGCCGATAAAAAGGTAGGAAATATTCTGTTAAACGAATTAAAATATCACGTTTTTTAGGGAACACAACCGTCATACTTATTATTATGCTTATCCTCCCTTCTTTTAACTAAGATTTTAATAACTTCACTCTATCTATCGCAGTTAGCTGGATTTACTTAAAACCTCAATATTAACCATCGATTTCAACGGGGTTCCGCTAGTTTGGATAAAATTATAAAAACAACAATCCTATAATCTAAAACAAGCGCATGTACAGGGAAACTTTTTATTTCTGCCCATACAAATCTTTTTTAAGGATTTAGGATTTTTTTCTTTAATATGGGAGAATTTGGCCACGGGAAATTGATTAGAGTTGGTCACATGGCTGAGAAAAATCCAGTTTCCATCCTACAGCCCTTGAAAGTGCCCATGTTATCATCAATACCTTTTTGTTGCTGAAGTAAACAGCTGATGCAGATTATTTTTACTTTCATCATTTTGAGTTATGTGTAAACAAAAATAACTGTATAGGTCAATGTCAACTTAATGTTTTAAAGAATGTTTATATACAGTTTGGTTTAAATACATATAAATTGTTAATGTTTTCACGGTTAAGAATTAAACGCAAAAGACCTCCGAAACAAATATAATTACCCTGAAAGAGATCCTTAGGAAACAAATTTCACCTTCTCTTTTCACAACTGAGCCAGTTCCAACCAGTTTATACATCCCACCGAATGTCTCAAAACATCGGCAAAGTCGCGCATCGAAGAATAAAAATAGAGAAATATAATTTAACATCTTATGGCCGTGCAAAATAATGAACTACAGGCCAATCATATTGAGCAGGAGTGTCGACGAATAGCTGCTCAATGTTTGGAAGAACTGCGCACTGCAATGACTGGACGTCAGCTGATTTTGGATATTCACGATTGGAACCGTTTGCACACGACATATGTCCAAACTGATCCGCGGTCAGAGGGTAGTTCTTTAACATCCAAACTGATCCAGAAATCTGGCAGGTGGAAAATGCGGTTGTTTGAAACATTCAGTTTGATCCACCAGGTGTGGGTTTCAGTGGTTAATATTATATTTTTTTTAATTTTGAAAACTGAGTTTATTAATAAACTTTGCCTATTAGACACAGTACAAAAAACTTAAATTTATGATATAAATAATATGTAACTTAGATTAATAACGTTGTCCATATAAATGATTTTGAATGATTTTACATGATTCTTTTAACACTTTTATGACTATTTCATTTTTTAATTTTGATGGAAGATTATATATTTTTTTTGTATTCTTCCAAAAATTTTGTAAAGTTCCTCTTGCACCAATCACTATGCCAATTACTGATATAGAATTTAGATTATATTTGTTTCTTAAATAAGTTTCACATTTACTATACATTTTCTTCTTTTCTTCATCTACTTCTAGGGGTTGATTTGTTGATGTTTCGAACCTTATAGTTGGATCAATTACAATTCCACTTTTAGATTTTGTATCATATATTAAAATGTCCAATCTTCTGTTCGATCCACCATCTTCAATGCTATGTATTTCTTAAAATCCATTTTTAGCCCCTGAGCTGTGATATTAATTAAAAATAGGTATTTACCTTCGTCTACAGCTCAATCTGTTGTAACTTGAGTTACGGCCGTTTCGGCATTATAATGCCATCGTCAGACGTTGAACATTCAGCTGAAGTAGCGTCGTCATAGTTGAAACACAAAACACGAACACGAATAACATTTTACTTTTACAATTACTAACGAAAACACAACGAACAGGCCTGTCGTACACACGGTACCGGTTGACATTGCCACGATCTGAACTGGATGCCGACTGGAGGTTAATCCTGCATCGTTCTTTGCGTAGTGGTGTTATCAGCTGACCTTTGTACTCCTGCCTTTTGTCTCTTGTCCTGGTCTAAAATACTATTGAAAATGATGTGTGATTTATATTGTAGTTTGTCATTTAATATTGTGTCATCAAAATTATTTTCTGCATAGGCTCTGTAAATTTCGTATTCTTCTAATGTGTCCAATTTATTTCCTTTCTTGCTTGTGTGGAGTATATCGAGGCCAGTGTTCAGATCATACATGTCATGGTTTTTATCAACCAGGTGTTGCGCAAAGGATGATTTTTGTTTGTCGGCTCTTGGACATGGGTGATGTTCTTTGTACCTGGTTCCGAATGTCCGTCCAGTTTTTCCTATGTAAAAGCTCGGGCAACTAGCACATTTAATTTTGTATACACCTGACTTCTCACTTTTGTCGATTACACGATCAGAAACGTTTAATTTATTAATTGTCTTGTTGTTGGTCTTGAACGCCAATTCGATACCATGTTTTTTCAATTCTTTCGTAAGTGAGTACTGAATTGAATGTGAGTACTCTACACACACATACTTCTTCTTTTGTGGTTGGACGTCTCCAGACTTTTTGTTTTTCATCTTACTTAATAACCTGTCAATCATATTGCTGTTGTACCCATTAGATAGCGCTATGTGTTTGATCAAATTGAGTTCTTTATTAAAATTGTTGTCTGACATTGGAACATTTAATAATCGATATAACATACTATTATAAGCGGCATATTTCTGTGATGGTGGATGGTATGACGTGTTATGGATGGTTTGGTTTGACGTGGTTGGCTTACGATAAATGCTGAAATCCAATCTATTGTCCAATTTTTCTATTGTCAGGTCTAGACAAACAAAATGAATTTTCTAGACCTGACAATAGAAAAATTGGACAATAGATTGGATTTCAGCATTTATCGTAAGCCAACCACGTCAAACCAAACCATCCATAACACGTCATACCATCCACCATCACAGAAATATGCCGCTTATAATAGTATGTTATATCGATTATTAAATGTTCCAATGTCAGACAACAATTTTAATAAAGAACTCAATTTGATCAAACACATAGCGCTATCTAATGGGTACAACAGCAATATGATTGACAGGTTATTAAGTAAGATGAAAAACAAAAAGTCTGGAGACGTCCAACCACAAAAGAAGAAGTATGTGTGTGTAGAGTACTCACATTCAATTCAGTACTCACTTACGAAAGAATTGAAAAAACATGGTATCGAATTGGCGTTCAAGACCAACAACAAGACAATTAATAAATTAAACGTTTCTGATCGTGTAATCGACAAAAGTGAGAAGTCAGGTGTATACAAAATTAAATGTGCTAGTTGCCCGAGCTTTTACATAGGAAAAACTGGACGGACATTCGGAACCAGGTACAAAGAACATCACCCATGTCCAAGAGCCGACAAACAAAAATCATCCTTTGCGCAACACCTGGTTGATAAAAACCATGACATGTATGATCTGAACACTGGCCTCGATATACTCCACACAAGCAAGAAAGGAAATAAATTGGACACATTAGAAGAATACGAAATTTACAGAGCCTATGCAGAAAATAATTTTGATGACACAATATTAAATGACAAACTACAATATAAATCACACATCATTTTCAATAGTATTTTAGACCAGGACAAGAGACAAAAGGCAGGAGTACAAAGGTCAGCTGATAACACCACTACGCAAAGAACGATGCAGGATTAACCTCCAGTCGGCATCCAGTTCAGATCGTGGCAATGTCAACCGGTACTGTATGTACGACAGGCCTGTTCGTTGTGTTTTCGTTAGTAATTGTAAAAGTAAAATGTTATTCGTGTTCGTGTTTTGTGTTTCAACTATGACGACGCTACTTCAGCTGAATGTTCAACGTCTGACGATGGCATTATAATGCCGAAACGGCCGTAACTCAAGTTACAACAGATTGAGCTGTAGACGAAGGTAAATACCTATTTTTAATATGTATTTCTTCTACTACTTGCCAGCCTTTCTTTCGTAGTTCTTCTGCGATCATTGCTCTTACTTGATCATTGCTCTTAGCATGGTGTCTTGCATTACGCAGTAAGGCACCAAAGGGACAAGAGCCAAGGACATGCGGAAGGGTTTCAGGCTCCTTGCAATGTCTGCAAAGGGTTCCATCCTGGCTTCGCCCTGGTACGCTGCTGTGTACTGGTACAACACCAGATATCATTTTTAATGAAGTGATCCATTCTCCTGTAGTAAGGCCATTTTTTAAAAATATATCCATGTGTTGCCACTCAAAGGTTTATTTACTCAAGTCACTGTAGCCCACTGCAAAAAAACTAAACTCTATGATCTATGAAACGGGTGTAATTATAGACACACACTACACAGTTGATACTATTTCTGTGATAATATGTTTTTGTTGCGAAAATGGTTTGTGATAAAACTATTTTTGTAAATGATAAAATGTGTCTGATGATGATATTATTTTAACTGTTAAACCCAATTAACCACAGCTGGGCAAGGCTCGGTCTCCCGTTACTCAAATCAAAACAAATAATATACTTATATACAGTTAAATCTGGGTGTAATCAGCATAAGACAGGAGTATCACACCTATGTTTTTTTCCTTCCACCATGGGTAACTACATTATCCCCTTAATACATTCAAATAGCAGCATTGCTGTATTACGAAGCTAATTAATTATTGCTGGGTTGAAACATAAAAATGTGAGCAGACTGTTATCTCAAACTTAATCTAAATCTGTAATACTTAGTCCGATGTTTTCTTTAAACACTTTTAATTGGCGATTTGTTTATTTAATCAACCTTTGAACTACAGATAACAAGTATTCATTACAAGTCATGTCTGAATATTTGTGGCTTGTGACTAGCTCAAGACATAATCTTGCTAAAAGTATCGAAGGTAGATTTGTTTATGACTCTTTAGACTGATCAAGAAAACTGAAAAGTTGTATATTACTTATTGAAAGTGTATTTTTAAATGTTTTCCTTAATTGTTCTTAGTTTTTTAGTGACTTCTCTAAGTAAAGTTTCTTGTTTGCATCTAGACGCTAAACATTTCGGCTATATCTTGAAATCAAGTGATTTTATAGAAATTCGACAATCTCCATATTTTATTGATAAGACTGCTTTGATCCTCAAGACTATAAACAATGATGAAACCCTCCTTTTTACTGCTCCGCCTGGGTTCGGAAAGTCGACTAATTTAGACATGGTAAGAGTATTTTTGAGTAACACAGTCGATAACAAGATTGCCCAAAATGTATTCGCAGACACAGAAATCTCCAAGGATAGCAATTTTGTAAAAACTCATCTTGGAAATCATCCTGTTGTATATTGTTCACTAGAACCGACTTCAACAGTGACTGATTATAACTCGATGTTGGCGAATTATCGAATATCGCTTCACAATGCGTTTTCACAACACCAGTATCTTGCCAGTAGTACAGTATTGGCGCAAAGTGATGTTAATCAATTCAAAAAATTTATTGATGCCAATAGTTATGCTAGTTTGGAACCATCAGAACTATCATCAGGACTTCACTTTCTCATCAAAGCTCTTAAAACGCATCATGAGAAACCGGTCATACTGCTGATAGATGAATACGACAGTGTCATTTGGGAAAGTGTGCTAACTCAAGGGTTAGGAATCAGTGAAGTTCTCGGGTTTTACAATGACGTGTTACATAAAGCATTAAGTGATAAAGACAATGTCAAGAAAAGCATTTTAACTGGTGTATCAACTATATTTTTCAAACTTCTACCTGGTTTAGGCTACACAAAGTGTGTGAGGTTTCTTCATGATAGAGATTTTGAGTCTTTCTTCGGGTTGACGGGTGATGAAGTTGATTATCTGGTTGACAGATCTGTTTACGTCAATCTGCGACCAAACTTGACGGAATGGTATGATGGCTACACAAGTCCTGACCTCTCTGCACATATTTATAACACAAAATCCTTTTTAAGTTTCATCCTACTTTCTGGAGGAGAGTTAAGTTCCTACTGGAGTAATATGAAAGTTCAAAAATCCTTGAGAATTCTATTAGAGGACAGAGTGAGGAAAAGTCTTTTATTGGAGACACCAGATAATTTAATGTTTGTTGTTAGAGAACTTGAAAAAGTTGATGTTGGGGTATTGGAAGGTGTTAAACACATGATCACCCAGGAAATATGGGATTCAAATGTTTCAGATTTGTACATTCATTTGTTAACTGAACAAGGGTACTTCACTTTCGACAAGCGTTGGGAACGATCAGGATACAACTCTTCAGTGACGCTAAAACTTGCCAACCTAGACGTTTGTGGGGCACTAAAAAAATTTGTTGTTAATTTCATACAAGAAATGAAGAAACAAAGTTCAAATTTGAACATAGTGTAAGTTTCATGAAGAAGAGGATTACCTATCCAAAAGGTTAAAAATATTATACATATTCATTTTATATTATTTATAACTTGGTAACTTTCAGTACTTTCTTCTGGTCATTGTTCTCTTCAAAAAGTTTATAAAGTGTTAATTGCTTTTCTATAATATTAAAAAAGTGCTAGAAAATAGCTTGAATTAGTGCCAACATACTCAATTTCACAAAAAGTTGAATGACAATCGTAGTTTTTAGCGGCACTTTTTATAAAACTTGATGGCGACAATCACTAAAATTGCAATAATTTTGAACCACACTTTTTACAGTGTTAGGGGTGGTGCCGTTTTGTTCAGAGTTAATAAAATACTAAATTTAAATCAATATTGTGGGAGCCAAATTTGTAAAAATCAGAGAAATATTTGCATTAATATACTGCGGTTGTGGCAAAACTAGTGATTTGTTCCTTCTTAAGCTCCTTACTACTCAACGACCTTAAAGAACAAAATGCTGTTTAAGAATGGTCACTTGGCCGTAGGCTATTGGCGACTCTTCCAAATTCGTCATCAAAATTCACGTACAATTCCTTGTTTTCTAGGTCCAATGGACCTGTATTTAAGAACATATATATTTTTTTGTCCTAGGACGCTAGGCACTAGCCTGGCATTGTTTTTTCACATTACTTCAGGCTAGACCTAGGGGTTGCGGCATTATCAATTAGATAAAAATCCATTGGTGACTTGGCGGGATTTGAACCCGGGACTGAAGTCCCGCGCTCTAATCACTGCACCAGCTCGCTCCCCATTGGAAGCATATTGGATAAGAAGCATCTTGGTCCAAAACGCACTGTAACGACACCGGAAAACATTGAAAGTGTAAGGGAAGCGGTAGTCAGAAGCCCTGATTGTATACGGTCAGCTAGACGTCATGCTAGTGAGGTACAAATTAATTGTGAATCGGTTTGACTAATTTAGAATCCAGTATTCTTCTAGTCAATCTGAAGTTTTTCACCCATCTGAGGATGGTGTTATGGCTCGGAACAGCTCAATGTCAACCGACATTAAACCGTGCACAAAACAATCGTGTAGCTGTAACAGTCTCACCACTTCTTATGAATCTGTCATAGCCAAACAATCAATGTTGCAAGTCCCACTGTTCCCACTGTAGTAACTGTTTTGATAAAATGGCCGAAATGGCGTCTTTTAGAGCATAACTATGCCCAATACGACCACTTCCCACCACCACACTCGAATTACCTTTGACTATTGCAATAGTCAATGGTATTACGCAGATGACAACCGTCCATCTCTCGTGTGTCACCCTGTGTAAAAGGATAGTTGGTATTTTTTGAGCAATTCAGCAAGAAAGACTCACCACTTCTTATGAAACTGTCATAGCCAAACAATCAACGTTGCAAGACTGGTTTAATGAAATGGCCGAAATATGGCGTCTTGTGTAGAGCAGAACTATGCCCAATACGACCACCTCCCACCACCACACTTATTACGCAGATGAAAACCGTCTGTCTCTCGTGTGTCACCCTGTATAAAAAGGATAGTTGATATTTTATGAGCATTTTGGCCAAGAAGTTAAAAAAAAGGTTAGTGACAATTTCAGACTGTACTCTGTTGCATTAGATCTAAGTTTACAATACATACATTTATGGTAAAATTATTAGTAAAATACTATCATATTAGTCACAAATATGAGGTGTAGATGCACAAAAAACTGTCATTTAATATTTGCCAATTCTTTTTTTCCTCGGTTTCCCCCTACCACGACTTTTAGGATACACCTTAACAATAGATTCTGTTGCTGCATGTTGTCTATCTGAGAAAGAAAGTTCATGTACAGCCTCCTTGAGTCGCTTAAGTATTTCTTCAGGATCCGTCAGAAAAGAAGTTACCATTTTTTTAAACTCGTAACCTATTTCAGCATTTGGAATTCCTAAGATCAGTCGTTCAGTGTTGTTGAAAACGTAACTCCTCTGCTTGTTGGTGAAGTATCCTTTCTCCATCAAGAATTGTATAAAGAAATCACCATAATTTTCGTCCCAAAGTTCATGCTCTGCAAAGCTCTTGATACCCTTGATATGGTGAGGGTGAATATCATCGGTACTGTTGATCTCAACTGGTCGGTTGGATATGGAATCATTGAGAAGTTTAAGAGCCAGTGGTTCTATGAGTAAGTATTTGATCGGTCTTATAGCTCTTCGATCTGCCCAATAACTCTCAAGTTGCCCTGTAAGTAGAAAACTTAAAGTAGATCTAGTATTGTACACTCTTGTCTTTAGGTCAGGACTTTGATATCCATTATACCAATGCTTTATTTCTCCCTTCATTTTTGAATATATTTTATATTCTTTTTTACTTAGGAGTTCATCAAGCTCAGGATCAGTAATTCCAAAAAAAGGAGAAAATCTTTCATCTCTGAGGAAGTTTATACATTTAAAACTCTCCAACTGGACGAGGGATTTCATCGCAGTGCATGTGGTTCCTACAAGAATCGCTCGACTAATGTACTTGTTTTCATGGAGGGTTGTACTAAAAAACGCATTATGAAAGCCCAAAGTATTTTTGTATTTCAGTTCTTTACTGAAAATACTGTTTAAAATAAAAGTATCATATCCGTCAATTAACAGTATTACTTCTTTTTCGTGATAACTTTTCATGAGTTTTGATAAGAAATAAAGCCCTCGCAAAATATGTATCGGTCGCAAAGTCAAATGTTTTTTTACTCCCGTGTAGAAAGTGATCAATTTCTTTTCGTTACTGGATATTTTTTTACTTTTAACAAGATAACCGTACAGTGCATAAGTCCGGAATAGAACTTCTCGGAATGCGTTCATCATAGTTTTGTAATCGTACACTCCGTATTTCTGTTGAAAATTGCAATATATCACTGCGTAATTTCCCATTTTCTCTCTAGTAAAGTTAGCTTCTTGAAAGATTTTTGTGTGATTGAAAAGTCCTTCTTGACCAAGCTGATCTACTGACAGAAATTTTTTCATTAATATCAAATTAAATGTTTTACCGAATCCTACAGGTGCTCCAATAAATAAGGTTTTTTCTTCTTTAAAAACTTCTTTCAAAATCAATGACTTGTCTACGTAATCAGAATTGTGAATGGCTTCTTCAAAGTCTTCGAAATAATTTGAAGCAAAACAATAGATTTGAAACACCTCAACAACTACAAATATTATAGTTTTCAAATGCATGTTTGGCTATTTACTAGGATGAAATTACCTCTTGTTAACAAAAAGTCCTTCATGTAATGTTTACTTTGTAAATTAAAACTAAACTGACCCCACTACAATTCATTTCAGTTGCAAATACAAGATGTTTTGCACTCTATCACAGTACTAACTAACTCTTGAACATTAATGACAAAGATTTCCAAGATTGTTTAACCATTGAAACTACTCTGTTACATAACAAAACACAACCTACAGTAGAAACTGATTTTGTGCTCTATTTTTAGATCTGAGATAAATATATTTATTAGTAAACAGCTCGTTGTTTCTTATTTTACTCCCAAATCAATTTATCGGAAACACTGTCAGACGCACGTGGAAGTTACTTCCGTTATTAGGAAAGTAAACAAATTTAACAATCCTGTACTCTAATATGAGCTATGTCTGTTTGTCTGTCTGTGTATATATTTCGAAATCCAGCAGAAGGATTTTGACTAAGTTTTGGAATGAAAGACTTTGTAGCCCTAAACACGTGATTGGCAAGAGTCACTGCCTCAGGAAAATTTGTATTTCGCTACACAACTCATTTGAAAATTAAAAAATTTAACATTGGCCTTATGGGTTACCAAGTAACTGTATTGGTTGAACAGAATAACAAGGATAAAAATATCTCTGTTAGTAGAATCTTTGACTATTAATACAACAACGAATACATTACTGCAAACTGGACCTCAAATAAACAACCAAGTCAAAAATTGCAGCCCGTCAAAGGTTTTAATCTTTAAACGGCTGCCATTTTTTACTCAGTAGTTCTTTTGATTTCAAATTTGTGGCAATGTATTCTACTAATAAAGACCTTTAATTTGATGTGCATACCTATGCTCACATTTATGATTTTCTTCTGTCCTCTAGCGGGCAACAGGTTTGTGAGATTAGGTTTTTGCCTAAGGAGGTGGTGTATAATAGCAATGCAAATTCAATGAATCTTTGAACAGCTGTCATTTTTGACTCAATTGTCCATTTGAGGTCCAGTTGTGGCATTGTTTTTAGTTCAACAAGACTTTAAATTTGATGTACATTAAAATTAACACTAGTGTACACGTTGCTCGAATTTGAGCAATTGCAAAGTATTACAGGAGTTATTTCAAAACGAATAACAGTCATATTTACAATGAGTTTAAAAGAGTCAAATCAAAGATTACCGGTGTGCATCTCATGGAGATACTCACGATGTATATAACAGTAATCAACATTTCCTGTAAATATTATATCACATTTCATAACCTGGTACCGGTATTGCTTTTTAATGTTTTATACAAACGTCTAACTTATAGCCATATAAGGTTGTCCATGTTTATCTTCGTTATTGATAAACCTAAAGCATTCCGGTCGGTTTTCTCCATCTCAAAATGCTTCGCTGTACAGGCAACACAGGTCATTGATAGAGGACCAATTGAGAACGAAAATTTAGTTTTCGTTTTGTATGGTAGTGTTAGGGCGCATTTGTAACCTAATAGTTGAGATTGTCCAGGGTCAGGTGCTGACTGTGATGAGTTAAGCCTATGCGCCACTGTTCTGTTGCTGCGGTCGTTATCACGATTACGCCTCCTGTCTATGTTTAGTTTTTCGTCGCATCGCAGGCATTTAAAAGAAATAACAACAAATACACAAATTATAGCTACAAAAAACAACGATAAATGCACAAATTTGATTTACAATCATGCTAACACGATCCGTCATAGCGACACAAAACAACGATAATCACACAAATTTAAAGCGGTGTTTACACTGTCGTGGGGCCACGGCTAAAATCAAGCGTGTAGGTGAGAAATTTTCTCACTTTCTTGAGAAGCGTGGCCACGTCTCATGTAAACAGTGGAGACGTGTGAGCAACAGGCGTGGCAACCCAATACGCCTGTTCCCCACGCCCTTTGGAACTAACCAAACCGTGTTTGGTTGCTACGCCAGTTGCAGGCGTGGCTAGACCAGGCTAGACGTGGTGAAGAGTTATCGTCTTCCGTCTCGTCGTTGTGTGTTAAGAGTTTAACTATTGTTCTTTAAAGTCAGTGGTTGTTGTCGTCTTAGTTTACGGTAACATGGTGAAAACAAAGAAATCTATAACATTGACACAAGTCGAATCAATTGAAACGGTGAAAACAAAGCAATCTTTAAAATTAATGGAAGGTCAAACAATTCGAATGCTTGATCTGTATCAAAGTGAACCTTGTTATTTATTTAATATAAATATTGAAAGCTACAGCTTGGTTTCTATATTTTAAAAACACTTAAATGCCGTGCTATTTCTTCAGCTAAAATAGCAATCACTGCAGCACAACCTTCAATAATTAATCAGTTGGCACAATCCATAACCCACCCGTAAATAAAAATGAACACACCTTTAATGAATACGCTTGTACCAGAAAACTGTTTACACTACACGGCTACTTGTGGCCGTGGGACGGTAGCGTGGTGCCACGGCATTTGCGTACGGCTGTCCATTGGCGTGGCGACCACGCCTGTTGCGGACGTGGCCCCACGACAGCGTAAACACCGCTTAAGCTACAACCATACTAACACGATCCATCTTGGGGGTTATGTTTACACAAACTCAAATAGTAAAGTACTCAATGCGTTTTGTTGAATTGAAAAAAAAAAAATAACAGCAATTACATTATACAGCTGATCAAAATGTAAACAATTATGTTCTTCATAAGGATAACATGGGAGCTTTCAAAGCCACTGGGGCAGATCCCAAGGGACTTTTTCAAAAATTCTGACCCATACTTATTTCTCCCATTAGCTTGTCAACAACCTTTATTATGGGTAAGCGGTGGGAGTAACTATGATATTTTATAAGGAATAATCACAAAAGTTGTAATAAACCTTTGAGCCGTAATATTGTTACAGCAATAAAGGGTTGCACCATTTAATTTAGAATTATAAGGACCACCATTAAAAATCAAAATTTCAAACAAATAAAATAAAAACTAGAGAACCTGGCGCACGAAATTGTGCGCAATTTAGACAAAGGAGAAAAAGAATTTGTATTGATTTTTTTATTTGGCGTTTTCTTGTTTCTTGGGTTTGTTGCTAAAGCTGGTGATTGTAAAAGGCCTAATTGAGTTTGCAGTTTACCTGCTGTTTTTGCAGTTTCTTTTGTGAAAGTCAGTAAAAGATTCTCTTTTGATTAATTGATGATAACCTAAATGATAAACCAAACCCTCTCGTTCCCACCAACACCTTTGGAAGAAGTCTGGGACTGTTTTAGCCATGTCCCTTGATAAATCTTCTTTCTTTCTAGGAAACCCCCTCGTTCTCACCACCACCTCTGGCTGAAGTCTGGGATTTATTTGCCGTGAAAACTCATCTTTGCATACTCAAATGTTTACTTTAAAATCTTTCAATCCTAACATCCTTACCCTAGAACTTGCATCCGTAAAGCATTGCTGGCTTAACACCCTTTATGCAGCTTCATCAAATGCTTCCCAGTCATGCATCTATTTTCTCTGGCATGTCCTGACAATTTGATGAAGACTCCTTTCATTTTTTGTACAATTCCTCCACATGTTTTTAAAAGTTATTTCTTTACCTTCCTTAATCAAGCCTGACGACACATCAAGATTCCTGTTAAACACAATAATGGTGTTTTCCAGAATCTTTGGGATCCACCCTTCCTAACTTCCGATATAATCAAATATTCTTTTTGGAGGTGAAAAACGTGTTTTTAACTAATATCAATAACTTCAGATCATTATTCTTGTACAGTTATCATAAATACAGAAGAATGTATATGCCATCTCTTACAATAGATACAATTACATAAAATTTATTGTTCCTTGGCTATTAATATTCTCCACTCATTAAATATAATCCTTTCATTTAGTTTCTGTAAAGCAAAGATCTTAAAAATCACAACAATTATGTGTAACTGCTGTACTGTCAGTTCACTTTAAAACTCACTGAACCCTAAAAATGTGTTTTGCAGAGAAACACCAATAACTATTGTAAAAAAAAAAAAAAAAAAAAAAAAAAAACAGTGTACATTTTTATCTATAAGTATAAAAGAGGATGTTTGTATAATTATATATATATATATATATTTGTTTGGCAGTGATAAACTCAGACACCGCTGAACCGATTGCCACGAAACTTGGTACATACGTGTAGAATTTCATGGAATAGGTTTATACACCATCAATTTTGTGATCCGTCTAATCGGCTCCGCCCCAGTGGCTCTGGAGTTTCCCATGTTAACCTTATGAGATGGAATTAATGAATCTTAACAGCTGTTTCAATTAAACAATTAAACAAGTTGGTTCTGTTCTATGATGTTCAATAGCATTAAAGTTACAAGGATTACCAACAGGGTGCAGCACTATTATTTCTTTTACATTTATGACAACAGCTAATTTGCAACCAAAAGGTGAGTGAGCGTAGCGAACGAACTTCAACCTGGAGGCAAGTGAGCGTAGCGAACGAGCTAACCTGAAGGCAAGTGAGCGCAGCGAACGAGCTCCAACGTAAAGGTGAGTGAGCGTAGCGAACGAGCTCCAACCTAAAGGTGAGTGAGCGTAGTGAACGAACTTCAACCAGGACGTGATGAGAGCCATGCGAACGAGATCATCTTGAAAATTAAGAAGTTAAACGGGGCAAAGCCCGCGGGTTATGCTAGTCTCTTCTAAATCTTTGTCATGTTTCCATTAATTTCAATTTGAGTATAACCAGCTGTTTCAAATATAAGTGTAAATTTAAAAGTATTCATCTGTTCTGAAATGTAAACAAACATTTTCTCCATAAGGATAACATGGGAACTTTGAAGGCCACTGGGGCAGAGCCCTGATGGAATTTAAAAGATTTTTTGATAGATGGCAAATCTACGTGCCACACCCTATCCAACGACACCTCAAACTTGGTGATCAGCAGCTTCAAAACAATTATGACAAAAATATGCCTAGCGTAATATATATATAGATGCCTGAAGATACCATGGATTAGTAATTTACATACCAAATTTCATCAAAATTGGACTACAGGTGTGGTCTGTAGCTCTGTAAGCTACACATCCATACACACACACATATACAGGCATCAATTCAAGAACCGCTTTTTGGGTTCTGGAGGACACAAAAGGGATATATACATATAAGGTATACCTCTTATAGGGATACATTTTAACTGGACATGGGTTTAACCGGACTACACTCGGCAGAAATTATATCTCTTTAACCGGACAATTTGTAT